CAGATGATGCAAAAACTCAGGATAAACAGAACAACATTTATTAAACCGGAAATCAACATGAACACAAAGACACAATAGACAAGTCGTACATGAAATCTAATAGACTACTAAAGTAGGTCGTACAAATAATAAATGAGATTAACAAATACGTTACACACAAGTAGAGCTTTTTAAAAAGCTTACCGTCTTTAGCAACAACCTTTAAAAGTAAACTAATCTACATCTTTAAAGTCGTGTATTAATTCTTGTGAATTTCTTGATTTCGAATTTCTGCATTAGATTTTTACTTGTATTAGCCCTACCACGGTTGTCGCCCGGTCATCTCCGTAAACTGACTGAGACCTTCGGCAAACCCCGGCCGATTCCGTTAAATGTTACCTTCTTAAAACAATTAAGGGGAAAAGAATAAAGGCAAATTTTAAAGCCAGCAAGCAATTAAAATCAAATCTTATTTGCAACTTGATGAAAATAAAGAGACCTGTTTAGTTATTGCTATTTAAAATATTGTTATTTAGAATTAATTACTGCTGATTTTGTTGTTCGTTTTGTCATTTTTTTAAGATTGGAAATATCGAAAAATTGTTAAGTCGTACGAAAATTAGACCATCGGAAAGTTATCTCCCTTGCCTTGAACAGCATTTCAACCAATGAAATAATTGAAAATTGTTTTCATCATGCAATTTCTACCAATCACAGAAGAGAGGAAGTGCATAGTCTGAAGACTGTAAAAAAAACTTCAACTATATAATACCGTCTTCCAAGGAAGACGGTAATAAACCAATGTTTATGCTGTAGATTTTAATAAAGAAGTAAAATACCTTCAATATACTTCAAAGACCTTCAATTGACGCGTCAATCACTTCGTGAAATAAATTCATACAACTGTATATTGCGTAGATCCGATGAGAACCAGTAAAATTTCTGCGAGCCAGGTTTTTTTTTTTAAATGTTTAGAGCTGTTTACAAAGCTTCTATAAATAAAAAAGCATATATGGCCTTCCTGTTTGAGTTGAATTTAAATTTACAGATTACCGTGGTGGTGTTAAATAGGGATTTTGTGGTTTATTCTATATTGATTTTACTGAAATGAAATTAGCAAGAGTGATTTACTGCAGAACTACCTCCCAGAATTCCAAAACACGCAAACGCATTTGAAGTTCTTCGTATCATAACTAGTCAGCCCGCGGGCTGACTAAATATTTATGAGATGTCTCTAACGATTAGAAGAAACCCGATGGTATACATTATTTCCGGAATGTTTTTTATCATCATTGATAAGAAAAACCATCTCAATATTTTGTTTTTTATGCATTAAACACCGGTTTAACTTTAAATATCATGCCTAAAATAAATGAGTTAGTTTTCTTAGATAAAAAAAAATGATTGAAAGCTATTAACATCAAGGAAATAATTATTCATCAATAAAGAATATTCAAAGAATCGTAAATAAATATGAAAACTGAAGAAAAGAATAATAAGAAAAAAGAATATTATTGAAAATGAGAAAAATAGAAAACAACACTAGATAAAATGTAATCTATTTAATTAATAAATAAATACAGAAATTAACAGCTTAATCTATTTAATTAATAATACAGAAATTAACAGCATACAAAACAAAAAAGGAAGAAAATACGAAACATATTTTAAAAGCTCAACTTGAACTGAAATAATCAAACTAATTAATAACAGCATCTACTTTCCGGCGCTGTTGATATGTACTTCCTTGTAAGTACAATATAATGATTAAACATAGGCTGTTGGAAAAGTCACTTCAATGCAACAGAAAAATAAAAGAAAACATATGCCCAAGAGAACAATGAGAAAGGTAAAAGAATATAATACATGTGACAAAAGACATTGATACATTCCATTGAGTAATACTAGACATGTAAGAGACCATAACCCTAGGTTACTGATACAGTCTACCGAGTACTACAAGACATATAAGAGACCAGTACCCTAGGTTACTGATACAGTCTACCGAGTACTACAAGACATATAAGAGACCAGTACCCAAGGTTGTTGATACGATCTACCGAGTACTACAGGACAAGTAAGAGTCCAGTACCCTGGGCTATTGATACGGTCTACTGAATACTGCAAGTCATATAAGAGACCAGTACCCTAGGCTTTTGATACGGTCTACCAAGCACTACAGGACAGGTAACAGTCCAGTACCCTAGGCTATTGATACGGTCTACTGAGTACTACAGGACAGATAAGAGACTAGTACCCTAGGCTACTGATACGATCTACTGAGTACTACAGGACAGGTAAGAGTCCAGTACCCTGGGCTATTGATACGGTCTACTGAATACTGCAAGTCATATAAGAGACCAGTACCCTAGGCTATTGATACAGTCTACTGAGTACTACAAGACATAGAAGAGTCCAGTATCCTAGGCTATTGATACAGTCTACCGAGTACTACAGGACAGGTAAGAGTCCAGTACCCTGGGTTATTGATACAGTCTACCGAGTACTACAAGACATATAAGAGTCCAGTACCCTAGGCTATTGATACGGTCTACTGAGTACTACAAGACATATAAGAGTCAAGTACCTTAGGCTATTGATACAATCAACTGAGTACTACAAGACATATAAGAGTCCAGTACCCTAGGCTATTGATACGGTCAAGCGAGTACTACAGGTCAGGTAAGAGTCCAGTACCCTAGGCAATTTATACGGTCTACCGAGTACTACAGGTCAGGTAAGATTCCAGCACCCTAGGCTATTGATACGGTCTACCGAGTACTACAGGACAAGTAAGAGTCCAGTACCCTAGGCTGATACAGTCTACCGAGTACTACAAAACAGTTTAAAGTCCAGTGCCTTAGGCTATTGATACGGTCTACCGAGTACTACAAGACATATAAGAGTCCAGTACTCTAGGCTATTGATACGGTCTGCCGAGTGCTACAGGATAGGCAAGGTTTCCAAAGCTCTCCTCGTCGAGAAATTAGGTTTCATTTCATAAGGACAGTACCCTAGGCTATTGATAAGGTCTACAGAGTACTACAGGACAGGTAAGAGTACAGTACCTTAAGCTATTGATACAGTCTACCGAGTACTACAAGACAGGTAAGAGTCCAGTACCCTAGGCTATTGATACAGTCTACCGAGTACTACAGGACAGGTGCGAGACCAGTACCCTAGGCTATTGATACGGCCTACTGAGTACTAAAGGACATATAAGAGATCAGTACCTCAGGCTATTGATATGGTCTACCGAGTACTACAGTTTAGAGTCCAGTACCCTAGGCTATTGATACGATCTACTGAGTACTACAAGATAGCTAGGTGTCCGGTACCCTAGGCTATTGATGCGGTCTGCTGAGTGCTACATTACATATAAGAGATGAGTACCGTAGGTTATTGATATGGTCTACCGAGTACTACATGACAAGTAAGAGTGCAGTACCCTAGGCTATTGATACGGTCTACCGAGTACTACAGGACTAGAAAGAGTCCAGTACCCTAGACTGATACAGTCTACCGAGTACTACAAAACAGTTTAAAGTCCAGTACCTTAGGCTATTGATACGGTCTACCGAGTACTACAAGACATATAAGAGTCCAGTACTCTAGGCTACTGATACGGTCTACCGAGTGCTACAGGATAGGCAAGGGTTCCAAAGCTCTCCTCGTCGGGAAATTAGGTTTCATTTAATAAGGACAGTACCCTAGGCTATTGATAAGGTCTAGAGAGTACTACAGGACAGGTAAGAGTACAGTACCCTAGGCTATTGATACAGTCTACCGAGTACTACAAGACAGGTAGGAGTCCAGTACCCTAGGCTATTGATACAGTCTACCGAGTATTAAAGGACATATAAGAGATCAGTACCCCAGGCTGTTGATATGGTCTACCAAGTACTACAACACAGTTAAGAGTCCAGTATTCTAGGCTATTGATACGATCTGCTGAGTACTACAAGACAGCTAGGAGTCCGGTACCCTAGGCTATTGATGCGGTCTACTGAGTGCTACATTACAGATAAGAGATCAGTACTCTAGGTTATTGATATGGTCTACTGAGTACTACAGAACTGGTAAGAGACCAGTACCCTAGGCTATTGATACAGTCTACCGAGTACTACAGGACAGGTAAGAGTCCAGTACCCTTGGCTATCGATAGGGTGTACAGAGTACTACTGGACAGGTAAGAGACTAGTACCCTAGGCTATTGATACGGTCTACCGAGTACTACAGGACAGGTAAGAGTCCTGTACCTGTCCTGTAGTACTCTAAGATTTTATTATGAATTCTTATTTGATGAAGTTGATATTATAAAAGTTTCGTGGGTAATCAGAGTTGAAAAAATCATGAAATTCGTGTATAATGTTCAGAAATTGCATCATGTACTGAACGCTCTTTAAGAGTGCATCTTTCATCTGCTTCTTCGTATGGTAAACCACATCTCTTACATTTGAGATATACTATGGACTCTTTAATCAAAACCAGGTTCATGTAATGCACTCCCATTCTGAAATTATAAAAATGCAAACAAATAAGAAAATTTAAATGAGTTTGAAAGAAATAGAAATAAGATCACATTATAAAACAAAGTTCAATTTCCATGTATATATATTGTATAACAGAAAGCATACAGATTTACTTTCAAATGTTATTATCTACATATCATGCTCATCACACCTTCAAATGATGCTTCAACACATTGTTGTACTCAAAGTGATATGAGTTAATCTAAACTGATCCCTTTTTAATTTTTCCCACAGATGACCCATGCCAATTGGGTGAAAATTACATGTACATAGAAGCTCAAATTTTATGGAAAAGAAAAAAAATATACAACATGCTTTCTCTCAGGTAATTTTCCAGGTGTTGATTTTTGAGGTTTTCAAATGATCTGTATCTTGTGAAGATGGATCTGAAAGTTATTTTATGACTACAGTGCAATTAAAGGCAAATGTACATGGAAATCAACACATAAATAACTAAAGGAGAAACTACTCAAATTACCTATGTACTGGGCTGTCACCCATTTTTTTTGTGAGCACTGTTTGTAGATGCTCCATAACCTTCAAAAGATGTAACAATGTGACTCATGAACAAGGCATAACAAAAGACAAAAGCAGATAGAGCAATTTAAAGAAGAGACAGATTAAATCCCAAGTCCCACAAAATAATATAAATGTATACTTACCCTTGTGCTTATAAATTTCTTCCCAAAACAGAACTTTTTTGTGAACTCCTTGTACATCAAATAAGGATTTTTTATGAACTGATGATGCCGTGCATGATCAACTTCTTCACTGTAAAATTAAACATTCAAGATGATTGGACATTCAAACTTGATTTTAAAAAAATGGTATAGTAATGAACCGAAGCATTAAGTATTTTAACTAAACTAGTCTTGTATAGTGCAGTTCATAATCTCTTCCAAATGTGCAACAACACTGTTCACCTGCAGATTAAATGGAAATAAAATGAATACATTTACTTTTCTTTACAACAGAAACCAAAATTTGAAAAAGAAAGATTACTTAAGATTTGAGGAATATATGAACAACAAGATAATGTGATAATTTCTTGAAAACCTAATCTACCTGGTATTTGTTGTTTACATTTTATAAATTATGATAATAATGTTACAAATAATATTCTGTTCCCGGGTTCTACTCACATGGCTGTTTATGAAATATGTTTGTATTTCTGAAGGGAAAAGAAATTTAGTATTTACACTGTGTACTAACAATCACTAAAAAAAATTACAAGAAAACTTCATTAAAAACTTTGATATGAAATATTGATCGCTCACTGTTCTGGCTTGATACAGCCTCATTTTCAACTTCCTCATCTCTGTTCTCAATGATGATGTCATCTTCCATTTTCTCAACATTATCATAGCTGTTCTCAGCATCTACATTGTTTTCTAGTTCGTTGACTTTGCTCCCAACAGCCTTGTGTCTTCTGTTCCAAATGCAATGGAAATAGTATTTCTTTCAATGATAATATGGATAAATTTAATGCTTAGAAAGTATTAAATTGTTTCATAAATTAATACAATAATTACTCTTTTAAAGTATTAAGGTATAGAAAACCCATGTTAATGAACATGTTGAAGACTATATTGATACAAATATTACATATGAAATATATAGACACAATCATTTAATTGATTTACTCTAATTACTAACTCAACATTATCTTTTACAGTGTCTTCTGATTTTCCATACCTGAAATATTCAATTTATATAGTACAAATTTATTGTATGTATTGTATTTATGAAATCATAATCCAGCTATATTTATAGCTACACGTAAATATTAAAAATGTCCGAACAGTTCAACAGCCAAAGATGTCCAAATGTTTAACTGAGGGCTAACCAAAACATAGCAAAGTGCAAAACGGATACTTGTACATGTAACAATATTTCACCTAATAGATTTTAATGACATTAAAATATCAGTGTTGTACCTGTAATATAGACTACACTACATGTGTATAGACATAAATATACGTTTTGTAAGAGACAAACTCATGCTTCTAAAATTAAACCATTATCATATTACATACCTAAAGCTGATTCAAAAATGTACTAATTACATGTATGACTATCAATGAAATGGGCGTCTATCTAGAGCAATCCATGCAGTTTTGTAAACTATATATCTGCCTTACGTCTTGATTTATGTCATATACATCAATACTGGCCGCAATTCTTATGAGTTTCTGGTCCTTATTATAAGTATTAATGAAAACTCTTATACACATAACTCTTGGACAGTATTTTTTCTCCGGGTATTCAAACACGTATGAGTGGAAGGAGTATTTAAGTTCATAAAAAAAAAAATTTCATACCATATATTTCTGACTTAGGAGTAAAAGGCATATCACTCCTCTTTGTGTTCATTTGTTGCAACTGCAACATAAACAAGTATTCACAAGGGTGGCATTTCTGTGCGTTGTACCCACCTCCCCAAATTAATATATTTAAACAGATATTAACATAGATATAAATTAACAAATGTATCATATACTGTAAAACCTTTTTATCTCTAATTTAGGGAACTAAACACTATAGATATCCCAGGATTCGAAAAATTAATTAAGGATAAAATGCATTAAATAGAGGTTAAACTTTGCTCTTTAAAATACTTTCGACAAAGCAAAGCTACTCAAAATATACATACTCATACAGTACTTTATACTGAAAAATGAAAAGTAAGGTACATGGAATTTAAAAAAAATTCCAAGAAATTTTCTAATTATCTGTAGTACCATCCAATCAGAATTTAAGGCCAAGGTTAAAGTTTTAGCTGACAGACAAACAGACAGATTGTCAGACCAAAAACGATATCCTCAAAATCTTCAATAAAGGAAACAATTTTGAATTTCTCAGACTAATTCAAAATACAAAAATATACATTTAGATCTACAAATAATTAACCTGCATCGTAATGCAACAACCTTCCCTTATATTACTATATCTTTTATGAAATGAAATTATCAATATAAGGAGTGATTGACGGCAGTTTACAAAAAAAAAATTACTCTTCAAGTATTTTGTTTTCATGAAGAATAGCCTTTAAATGATTTATTTACAGAAAATTAAATTTTCATTAAAGTAAATACTTAGTTATAAATATTTAAGTTGGATAGCACATTTTCCAAATGACTTGCACATTATAAAAAAAGAATCATTTAAGGAGAAAAACATAATATACCCAGTTTTATCAACCTTACCGAGAATATATTAGTAATGGAATATGAAAAATTGTATTAGTGTATGACGTTTGATGAAAATATCTTGAACAATTTCTTTAAATTGAATTCTAACAAGGGCACCGCCAAGCGGAGCATCCCCTCGCGACAGGAACTTTAGTGGTAATAGCAATACTTCATACATATGTTACATATTGATAGTACAATGTATTTTGTTTAATGTTCCGCTCAGAATTTTTTGCTCATATGAAGGCTTGCCGGTGGAGGGCTGCACATTCTTTTCTATAATAGGAACTAACGACCATTGAGCAGTGAGGAATCTTTTTATGCCATCTATTGGGACATGGGCCCTTGGTTTAAACGGTCTCCACGTCCCACAAAGGGATTCAAACCCGCAACATTAGAATCAACTCCCTAACTTTTGACAAAATTATTAGTGGGATGTTGTTGATGATCCATTTTTTTTTTACCAAATGCAAAGAGCAAAGCGTCTAGGCTAAGGGGATGGGGGATAACATGGATACTTAATTTGGGATAGTACATGTAAAGTTTATAATATATTAAATTGTTTTTCAGCACTATTTATTTTTAAACAAAATTATCGGGGGTGGAGGATGTCTTTTTAACAAAAATCAAATTGCATAGCATCAAGGGGAGGGGGGGAGGGCCTAATGTACATACGTAATTGGGCAGTTTCCCTTATGGCTAGCAGAAACATATCACGTATGCTATATGTATGTTTTAGTGATTATAATTATTTACCTACCTAAGTATATCTCACGGTTCCAGGCAATGTGCATTTTTTTCGTAGTGAAAAATAACAATGTACATCGAGAGGTTAACTGAACTTGTGGATTGTATTTACAGCTTTCAGGAATAATGCGCACCCCAAATTCCCAGACACCTGTTGGAATTTGATCTTAAAACTACGACGTTCATCGAAGTCTTTTAATCTGGTTCCCGCAGACTTTAACTGGTTCCCTTGCAGAAATGATTATTGTCAACTCGTACCTACATAAAATGTCAGGGTTTCGAGACAGTGAAAACGCGATATCTGAAGAAATATTTCAACAATGAACTTGAAAATGAATAGGCTTCATCTTTTTATGCTGCCACACAAGTATGTAAACGCTGAGGGTGGTTAATGCAAAAGTTCTCTGTCAATCTTGCCCACAAATGATTATTGTCAATTGCAACTCGCACATAAAATGTTAGGGTTTCGAGGCAGTAAAAACGCGATATCTGAAGAAATATTTCAACAATGAACTTGAAAATGAATAGGCTTCGTCCTTTTATACTGTCACACTAGTATGTAAACGCCGAGAATGCAAAAGTTCTCTGCCAATCTTGCCAACAAATGATTATTGTCAGCTCGTACATAAAATGTTAGGGTTTCGGGCAGTAAAAACGCGATATCTGAAGAAATATTTCAACAATGAACTTGAAAATAAATAGGCTTCGTCCTTTTATACTGCCACACAAGTACGTAAACGCTGAGAATGGTTAATGCAAAGGTTTTCTGTCAATCTTGCCCACAAGATGTAACGAACACACTAACACACACACACACATACGCACATTCGCGATGCTATATCCCCTCCGCAACTAGTTGCGCGAGGGGATAAAAAACTGGATATAGATTATAATTTCTCAACAAATTATGTATACTGTAACCAACTACTATTCGTGTCATTTTTTATTTGCGATTCGTTAGTTTAGAATCAATCAGTTACAATTAATTTTCGTGACCGAGAAAACATTCTCTTTGAATACTTATCAAAATTATTGGTTCACATTATTTATTCGCGAATAAAAGTAGGTCATGGAACACACGAATATTTCTCACATGCGAATAAAAGTTGGTTTACAGTAAGTGCATGCTTAAATAAAAATATCTTAAATGGTTTCTTTAAAAGTAAGCAAAATACAAAATAAAGCAATAAGGGAGGTCATGGGAGTGCATGGTCAAAAGTAACACCATGCAAAATCATTGGAAAATACATTCTGAACAACTAATTCTAAATTTTCAAAACTGAATTAAATGCCATGCAGAATGTATCTTAATTTGGCTACCTTCCCCTTAAATCACTATATAAAAAAGAAATTCTTTTCTTCTTCTAAAATAAAATATATCAGGTGATGAATGATGCAAAATAAGCAAAATCATTACTTTTACACAGACACAAACTTTTACCTCAACACTTAAAGCTATATTATGCACTGGGTAAAGTAATTTACCTTCCGAGGATCTTTTCTCAGATTAGACTCCAGATTCACAGAACGTTGGTCAAGCGAGGAACACATTCCACAAACAAAATTAGACACTCCTATACACCCATGGTGAAAGAACTTGTCTCATTTCTCACACCCGATCTGCAAGAGATTTTTGATTATTAAGGAATTTAAAATAAGTCTAGATTAACATTAGCAAGTGAAACATTTTTGTATATATAAAGGAATTACATTTCAGAACAAAAATCATACCCAATCCTCATCTTGTCTTGCTTCTCTATGAAGACTGCATACCCTTCTTTAGATATTTTAGTGTGTGAATCCAGAAGGAAGGACAATGGGGTCCAAACCATCCCTACTGAGGGGGGAGGCAAAAAATTACTCATACAAGATCTATAAAAGATTTAAAGATTTAGTATAAAAATGACTTTGCTGCTAGCTTCCCCATTTTCATTAGAAAAATGGATCCTGGTGAGTATAGCTTACACATGTACATGCATGAACAAAGAAGCAAACCTCTTATGAAAAAACAAGATGTATTTGTTTGTGTTGTATAATCGGAAAATATCTGAAACCGATTATCGGTTAATAATCGGAGTCCAATTTTAGTGATTAATCGAATTAATCGGTCTCCATATTTATTTTGAAACATATGTGAAATAAAGGATATATGACTCTATAAAATGTTTATTTTTTTACTGTTCAATGTATCACAACTTATTAAAATGAAATTTGGCAATTACAATAACAAGGTAACTACTAACTAGTAACTAGTACTAACTATATAGCGTTTTCCCAAACTTCTTACCAAGGACGACAGAGCGTAAAGTCGATATAGTACCTTTATTGGCGTACGTTCGCCTGCAGAGTTTGCAAACGGCTCTTGACATGTCTAAGTTTTGTTTCGTCAGCGGACCGGCTGCCTTTCTGTAAAATCCAAAGTATTTCCATACCTCCGACTTCGATTTCAGCGATAGATTCGGCGATAATCGAAACACCACTAGTATTTGTGAAACACTGATGGCCCCCATAGCAGCATATGACAAGGGTTGAATTCTCTCAAATACATGTCAAACTAGAAATGTCGAGGTCAAAAGTATTGGCACTCAAAAGGAGGTCTTGTTACAAGGAATACACCTTAGAAGTTTTTTTTACAAGTTTGTCAAACTCTTAAGTCAAGGTCAAAAATATTTATACCAGTTGAAAGGTTTTATCACAATGAATATTAATGTGAAGGATGAAAGGCTTAGCTTCAACTTAATTGTTAAAAATTTTGGCCAAGGTTACAGTATGTTATTTTTGGTAAAAGTAGGTCAAACCCCAAGTTCAAGCTAACAACAGACAGACAGAGGAGCAAACAGACAGACTGGACAAAAACAATATACTTTCGGAATCTTTTAATCTGAGGGCATAATTTTTTTTTAAAATATTTTTTGTTTTTGTTGTTGTTTTCCCTTTTTCCTTGATGATTTTGTTTTGTAAAATTTTTCTGGCTTTCCATAAAATTGGAGCTCAATTTTTATTTTTTTTTAAAGGCTGTGAACCCCCCTCCCCTTCAAGTTATCTACAATTTTCTACAATTTTCACTTAAATCTTACATGTGAAACTGATAGCCACTGTTTGTCAAACCACTTCCTCAGCTGTTGACTGTTCAGCCAATGAATGCTTTCTTTAAGGCTGTCTATAGCTTCTTTGTTATTCCTCTCATTCTGTTAAAAGTATTATCAAAAAAAAATTAATAATATTAAAACAATTCACATTTTCCAATTAATTTTACCATGAATCATTCTCTTTAGAATTTTGCATTACAATATTTAAATAAAATATATGCAAAAGAGAAATCACACACACAATTAAATATGACACAAATTACTGGATACAATAATCACATACACTTACAATTCAATAACCTCACCCTGATTTGAACCAACACCATGCTTTATCTGTTTCAACCACCGTGTCCATGATTGTTCTCGATGAAAAGAACAGAGATATACAGTACTGTCTGTTAAAAATGCAATCCATTAATTAAACATAATATCAGAGGATTTCAGTGATTAAAATATTTGGTTTACAATGTGACAAAATATATTTGTAGAATATCACAGTAATATACTAAGGTACATATTTTTTTTTTTACCTTCAAATACTTCCTCAACTGCTTGGATTTCCCTTTCATCATAGTCAGTCATGAATTAGCTAGGATTCAATCCTGGATTCCATTCCTTAATTATACCCCACGCAACTAGTTACGGGAGGTATAATGTTTTTGACCCGTCCGTCAGTCAGTCAGTCAGTCAGTCAGTCCTCTTTTTTTGTCAGCGCAACTCCTCATAAACCGCTGCACAGAATTTCGTCAAACTTTGCAGATATTTAGGACACAATGTGTAGATGTGCATATTACCAGGAAATTCCGATTCCATTATTTTTTCCGGGAATTTCCGCACTTTTTAACTTAGGCATTTGGCCATACCTTGAATACAGAGATGAACAGTTTGTCAGCGCAACTCCTCATAAACCGCTGCACAGAATTTCGTCAAACTTTGCAGATATTTAGGACACAATGTGTAGATGTGCATACTACCAGGAAATTCCGATTCCTTTATTTTTTCCGGGAATTTCCACACTTTTTAACTTAGGCATTTGGCCATACCTTGAATATAGAGATGAACAGTTTGTCAGCGCAACTCCTCATTAACCGCTGCACAGAATTTCGTCAAACTTTGCAGGTATTTAGGACACAATATGTAGATGTGCATATTACCAGGAAATTCTGATTCCATCATTTTTTCCGGAAATTTCCGCACTAAATACTTAGGTTTTTGGCCATACCTTGAATATAGAGATGAACAGTTTGTCAGCGCAACTCCTCATAAACTGCTGCATAGAATTTCATTAAACTTTGCAGTTATTTGGGACACAATATGTAGATGTGCATATTACCAGGAAATTCCGATTCTTTTATTTTTTCTGGGACTTTTTGCACTAAAAACTTACGTTTTTGGCCATACCTTTTACATAGAGATAAAAAGTTTGTCAGCGCAACTCCTCATAAACCGCTGCACAGAATTTGGTTAAACTTTGCAGATATTTAGGACACAATATGTAGATATGCATATTACCAGGAAATTCTGATTCCATTATTTTTTCCGGGACTTCCAGCACTAAAAACTTAGGTTTTTGGCCATACCTTTTATATAGAGATGAACAGTTTGTCAGCGCAACTCCTCATAAACCACTGCACAGAATTTCGTTAAACTTTGCAGATATTTAGGACACAATATGTAGATGTGCATATTACCAGGAAATTCCGATTTCTTTATTTTTCCGGGAATTTCCACACTTTCCAACTTAGACTTTTTGGCCATATTTTGAATATACAGATGAACAGTTGTCAGCACCACTCCTCTTAAACTGTTGTACATAGTTTCGTCAACCTATGCAGATATTTTGGACATATTCCATTATTTTATCCCAAAGAGTTTTGCCTTTTATTCAAGAAAATTTCTCACCCCCCCACCCCCAACCACTTCAAATTAATGTTTGGATTTGTATAATGCCAAGAAATTTTGATTCCATTATTTATCTAGAAACTTCATTCCACATTTAAATGTCCTCATATGCAAGACATTTTGATGTGAAGATTTTTTTTTGCAATTATTGCCTTCTTTGATCTATACTATGTATTTAAAGTGCACTAGCTGTGCCTTTCGTTATGTGTTTCACCGTCAAGTTTTGGGGGGAGCGTGGGGTACGTGAGCTAGCTCACTTTTTAGCTCACCTCAACGAAGTTGGGGGAGCTTATGTAATACCCTCGGTGTCGGTGTCGGTGTCGGCGTCCCAGGTTAAGTTTTTTGGAGCAGTTTTCTTTTTAAGTACTTCTGTGTCCTATATTGATTAGACATGCATGGAAGATGCTTCTAGTGTGTTTCATTGTACCAGTCAAAGTTTCAGATGCTGCAATTTCAGCAGAGGAATGACCAGGTTAATGTTTTTGGAGCAGGTTAACATTTTTGGTGCACTTTTTGGTGTAGGTCTCATTTCCAAGGAATTATAAACCCTATGTTGACCAAACTTGCATGGATGATACATCTAAGGATGCACACTACCGGGCTTGCTTCGGATGCTGAATCTGACCTACATTTTCCGGTTGAGTGAACAGGTTAAATTTTTGGTGAAGGTCTCATTTCCAAGTAACTATGAGCACTATAATGACCAAACTTGCATGGATAATGCATCTAAGGATGCATACTACCAGGTTTGCTTCGGATGCTGAATCTGACCTAGATTTTCCGGTTGAGTGAACAGGTTAAAGTTTTTGGTGCAGATTTCATTTCCAAGTAACTATAAGCCCTATGTTGACCAAACTTGCATGGATGATACATCTAAGGATGCATACTACCAGGCTTGCTTCGGATGTTGAATCTGACCTACATTTTCCGGTTGAGTAAACAGGTTAAAGTTTTTGGTGCAGGTTTCATTTCCAAGTAACTATAAGCCCTATGTTGACCAAACTTGCGTGGATGATACATCTAAGGATGCATACTACCAGGCTTGCTTCGGATGCTGAATCTGACCTACGTTTTCCGGTTGAGTAAACAGGTTAAAGGTTTTGGTGCAGGTCTCATTTCTAATATACTATGAGCCCTATAATGACTTAACTTGCATGGATGATACGTCTAAAGATGCATACTACCAGGCTTGCTTCAGATGCTGAATCTGACCTACATTTTCTGCTTGATGTAAACAGGTTAAAGTTTTTGGTGCAGATTTCATTTCCAAGTAACTATGAGTTCTTTAATGACCAAACTTGCATGGACGATACATCTTAGGATGCACACTAATGGACTTGCTTCGGATGCTGAATTCAACATACATTTTTCAGATAATGGACCAGGTAAAAGTTATGGGTGCAGGTCTATTACCAAAAAGCTATAAGGCTTATATAACATTGTGTAAACCAGACTTGCACAAATGATGCATCAAGGGATGAAAACTCTCAAATTTGCTTCAGATGCTGGATTTTAATTACATTCTCATGAAGAACTAGTTTGAATTTTTTATATAGGTCTATTTCAAAGTATCAAATCACAATTGCATGAATATTTTCATTTTTGGAATGTACACTTTTTGTTGGTTAATTGTGTGACTTTGCCTTATTTAAAGACAACATTCGTTGAGGTGAGCTCTGTAATCTCTGATTACCTATGTTTCTTTCATTTTTTTAAGCCCTTCTGAATAGACGTTTTTGTTTCCGTTGCAACAACAAAAGAACCACAAATGGAATGCCCAACATTAGTTTGCACACAAATGAAAAAAAGAGGAAGGTCATACTTTGAGGTCTTATAAGTGGCATCCATGATGCAAATGTCTCTCCCATACAAGCTTAAGAGACGTCTCTGCCAGGTGGTCTGGTGAACAAACAGAAAGTTCTCTGATGGAATGTCTCCATGGGTAGTGGTATCATATCTGTGTTTGAAAAATATACCGGTAATACATACAAAGGAAACTTCTAAATCATTTTATCAGAAGCAATTAGGTTTGAAACTTTTGATTAACTTACGACGTCCTAAGGATGAAGTTGTCCTCAGGAGTAATTTCTTGCCAGGTCTCCACCAAAGACTGAAGGTTCATCTTTGGAAAACCTAGAAGCAATCATTCATTATTGCACTTCAGAATCTGGGATTCAAATGCTTATATACTAATGGAAAGTTTTAAATAATTAAACCTCATAGTTAAAGAAATATATATTCTTGCTTAAGTTGACCTTCGATGAAAGGTAAATAATCCTACTTACTGTTATCTTAAGTTTACATACGAAATACAAAATAGGAATATTTAAAATTCAATACCTCAAGCTGTTAATGGCATATAATTCTAAATAACTGTCAAGAAAAAATAGCATATAAACATATAAGATTTTGAGGAATATTTAAAATAAAGATATTTTGAGCTTTTTCTCTAAAGATTTTGACAGAATCAACATCAATTTTTTAGTGTTTTCAAATAGAAATTTCAAATATTTTCTTGACAAATGAATATTTATGATTTTCGTGAGTTTTAACAATAATTGGATGTGAATTGGTACATAGCTAAATAAAATAATATGTTACACTTCTATATGTTGAATTTTGGCTGTTGAATTTTAAGAGGTATATACTCCGAGACATGTTGCATGTAAATTAACCTGCAAAGATATGTTTTTTATGGGTGTTTTAGTTAGATTATTACTTATTCAAGATTTTTAAATTGAAAAATAAACAGTTTGACAGAAAATTCTGAAAGTACGGACCTACCTTAAGGAGAGGAACTCGTAAGTTGTAAGAACTTGTTTCCGATCCATTTGATTACATTCAATAAAAAAATATGTTCAAAACAACTCAAAACATTTCTCATATTTTAAACAAACAATTAAATCAAAGAGACAGTAGAAAATATATTATGATAATTATTTTCTGACAATTTAAGATAACTTTGAAAGTTGAATGCAGTGTTCGTATTGTCTCAAATGTGATTGCGCAAACGTACTATATTCTAACTCGTAAATTTGATTAAGCGGTGATGAAGCAGCATTTCCGGATGAACATCGTAGCAAAAGACGGCTACTGCTCTTCGAGCAATGCGCCCGGCTAAAAATTGACCTAGTTATGATAAATCTGTATACCAAATTTATCTCAATATGTGCAACCTGTAGGA